GTAATCCATTTTGATTTGTGCCTTAAACTTGATAGACCGTTTGAGACTGCGTTTGAAGTCTGATTTTGAAAATTGTGTACCTATAAATCATTATGTTAAACTAAGTTGTTAGATTTTAAGTATTGTCTGAATGCATATTTTAAACCTTGTTGATTTATTTGATTTTAATTCAGTCAAATATCAATAAACTTTTAATATCAATTTATTTTAACTTAGAATTTGAACTTAACTTGAAAACTCATGTAACATTGTTAATTGTTCTCCTTATTTGATTTTGAGATTTATCCTTAGTTCATAGGCCTAAAGGATTGTTTTATTTGTCCAAAGGGATCAGTAATATTTTGTTTGATAAAGGGTACATAATTTGACTTCATTTTAAATAAACTGTTGTTCTTTCTGTCACTTTGTCTATTTCATGTGTTTTTATCTCTAGGCCTAAGTTCCGTAAAAGGTAAATGTTGACTTGTAACTTTTGTGAGAAACCACAAGGTGTCGATCCCTCTTGATCGACTGGCGCCCATTTATTTGAATTTTGTGAGACAATTTGAGACCAGTAAGTTAGGCTATTGGATCATAAATCCCACCCCATCAGCTGACTTTGTTTAGCCGAAGGCAAAACCAATTTAAGTAACCTGAACCGGTTACAAATGGCGCCCAACGTAGGGCTTCTCTTTTATTTCTTTGAGTAATTTTAATGTTGTTTTTAATCTGTTAGAATTAAGCTTGAATTTCACATATGTTGTCCTAATTATTATTTCAGGTAAATTTTAGTACATTGTATTGTATGTTGTCCTAATTGATATTTCAGGTAAATTAGTATCCAGTGTATTGTATATTTTCTACTTTGTCTTTAATTGATTTTGAGTGTATATTGTCGAGTATTGGTAATATTGAAACTTAATTATGGATCCGTACCGTTTGTTAAAAGATGAGGTTGAGAATGAGCTCGTATCACGCGGCTTAAATGTAACAGGCTCAGCAGGAGAACTTAGGAAACGTTTGCACGTAGCGTTAAGATCATTTACTTCTAATGACTCCAAAGTAGAATTGGACACTACTTCAGAACTTGAAATATGCAAGAACAAACTCACCGAACTAAAACAATTGATAGTGGATTTCCAAGGACCGTCGCGGGATAAAGTCTACAACAGATTGGACACTCGACTCACTCATCTGTTTCATAGAATCACCAGAATCCCTAAGACCGATCAAGAAGTTGAAACTACCAGAACTGGATATATTAAATATGCTAAAAATTTATTTGAGGCCTTAGAGTCAAAAGTTTCTACGACAACTGACGGTGAAGAATCGGATGTAGGCCAAGTTGACACACCTTCGCCAGAAGACGCAAACAAAACAGCTACAGAAATAACTGGAGCTATAACTCCTAAGTTTACACAATCAACACCTGAAAGTAACTGCAGTAAAAGGATTGTACCTGTAACCAAGTGGAATCTTAAATTTAGTGGTGACGGAACTTCCAGTATTGGTTCATTTATCGAGCGAGCTGAAGAACTTTGTGTGGCTCGAGGTCTAACAACAAAAGATCTTTTCAATTCAGCTGTTGACTTATTTGAAGGTCAGGCATTAGTATGGTTCAGATCAACTAAAGGCAGAATCTTAGATTGGGATCAACTACGAAAAGAAATTAAAAATTGTATTTCAGCCTCCGGACTATGATGAGAGACTTAAGAAAGAAATCGCCATGAGGACTCAAGGGGAATTTGAAAATATTGATATTTATTTGGCAATCATGGAAAATCTTTACGCTAGGCTTTTAACTCCTGTTTCGGAAGAAGAGAAATTGGGACAAATTAAATGTAATTTGAACAGTCATTTGCATGACAAGTTATGTATGTTCCCAGTGACGTCATTCGAACAATTTAGAGATTTAGGGCGTAAAGCTGAACAAGGGAAAAGACAATCTTCAAACGTTAAACCACCACCACATCCTCGTATGACAATGGAACCAGAATTAGCCTATAACAGACCAAATAGCAGACCAAATCTATTTCAACGACAGGGTAATACTTGGAATATGAAAAAAGATCAAGTTTCAGCGTTGAATAATGAGATAAGTAGAACTCCAACCAATAAATTTGTATTTAGTGACAAAAAGGTATCTCAGACAGTGAATAGTAGTGATGATACTTCCCGACAGAAAAGATGTTGGAACTGTGGCAAGATAGGCCATACTCATGTTGACTGCAAACAGCAAAAATCTGGATTATTCTGTTACAAATGTGGTTTTAAGAACTATAATTGTCATAACTGTCCTCGCTGCAACAAAGTGTATCAACCAAAAAATGTGCAACAGAAATCAGAATTGTGAGTCGTCTGTTTTCTAAGTCAAAAAGGGCTCACGAGGAAAAATCTGATTTTACACCATCTTACAGTAGGGTAACCAAAGACACCCGTAAGGAAAAACATGACAAGAAACAAAAATCCAATAAAGTGAATCAGACAGATTTTTTGTTGCAACCAAATGTTACGGATAATAGGCCCTATGTTGTAGTAAATATTCTAGGTTACGGCATAAGCGCCCTTCTTGATTCAGGTGCGACTGGTTTGTTATTGGGAAAAGAAGGACTCTGGATTCTCAAAGCAGCAAATCTAAAACCCACTTCCACTGCTAATAATGTTATCCGTACGGCTGACAGAACAATTCATACAGTAACAGGCACTGTTGACCTGCCAATTAACTTAGAAGGAAAATTGAAATTGATCACAACTTTGATAGTACCGACTCTGCCAGACGCTTTGATTTTAGGAGTGAATTTTTGGAAGGAAATGGATATTATTCCTAGGTTACTAAATGGGACTTGGAACTTTGGTGAATTATCTGAAGAAAATCAAATCTGTGCATCAGTAGGAATCTCAGACCAACTAACTCAGGAACAGAAAAATCAAGTACAAGAAATACTAGATAAAATAAAGAAATATGATGGACTTGATGATAAAGGACATTTAAGGAAAACACATCTCTTAGAGCACAAGATTAACGTCAAAGACCCTGAACCATTTAAACTTAGACACTACCCTCTTTCACCAGCAATGCAAGAAATTTTGAACAAAGAATTGGATAGGATGTTGGGAATGGGAATTGTACAGGAATCTTGCTCACCATACTCTTCACCCATTCTTCTCGTCAAGAAACCTTCAGGAGACTATCAACTATGTCTGGACAGTCGAACCCTCAACTCTAAAACAGTAAGAGACTCCTACCCACTACCGTTCATCACACACACTCTGGACAAATTTAAAAAAAATCTTTAGGTTTTGGTCATTCGGAGTCCTGTAAATTACAATGTATATTGTTTTGGTTGACTTTTCATTACTCATTGTTTCAATAGCAGTGCATTCAAAAGCTTCTTCAATTGCCATAGAATCAATATCTTTCCTTTCTTTAAAAGTGATATTATTTTTTGCAAAAATACATACCCCTCCCCTACTTTTTAAATTTCTGTGGTAAACTGAGGCTAGCTTATAGGAGGAAAAACAGTTAGGCAAATGAACATCATTTGTATCCATCCAATGTTCTGACAAACAAACAATTTCTGGTTCAAGTTTTAATCGATCTAAAGTAACTTTTAAGACAACAAATTTACTTAAACTTGATCCCTGAATATTTAAGTGAGTTAACAAAAATTTTTTAAAAATATTTTTTTTATATTTTACATTAAACTTTACATTTTTTAATTGTTTTGGCTTATTTACACGCTTATCTAAAGCTAAGTTACATACACTTGGGTTGCTGACGTTAAGTTTTTTTTAAATTCCAATCTAGTTTACCACAAGAATCATGTAAATAGGATGTATAATAGTGAAAATATGTATGTTTTAGTGATCGTTTGCATAAAAAGGTCGCGATTGCTGAAATAAGTACCGCAATAGGGCGTTTTTGGTACTATAAATGTCCCACGTTGAAGGGTTAATAATAGCCTATATAATTTAGTCGGAGAGTTTCTAAAATAAATTGTAGACCTAAAGCAAGAAATTACTGAAGAACATCAAGACATATCAGAAGTGAAAGAGACTTTATTTATTCAAACATGTACAAATTAACCTTATTTGAAAGTTTTGATTAATACATGGTTTATGGTTTATATGTTTATTATTGTAAACCCTGGACGCATAATTTGTTATTCAGGATTAGTTTTGCCAACAGTGTCATTTGGAGGCTTCTGATTGACTATAATGAAGGTTTACTAATTGAAAAATTAGTTTTGTTCATAAAATAAAATTATAAATGCCTCAAATTCAATTTTATAATTTTTAAATTATAAAATAAAACTGTCATAACCTAACCAAACCAACCAGACTTGCTGATAATGAAAAATCGAATGAAGGTTTCACTTAATCGAAAAAACCGTTCTGTTCATAAAATAAAACCATAAAAGGCTCAAATTCAAATTTTATAATGTTTTAATTATAAAATTAAACTGTCATAACCTAACCAAACTTGCTGATAATGAAAAAAAACAAGACAAAAAAATAGTGCCACAGGTGAGATTCGAACCCGGCTCCTTCAGTTTATCAGCCCGGCACTTTATCCACTATACCACCGAGGCTGATGGCATCAAACCCTATCGTTGCGGTAATAGTGTTCCCTCAGCCAATCAGAAGCCTCCAAATAACACTGTTGGCAAAACTAATCCTGGAATAAAAATTCAGCACCCTGGACATTTATTTATTTATTTTATTTACCACATATAAAGGACTTTGCAAGTTCCCCACAGGCCAAAAACACCATTAGTTCAAATTCATATATACATATATATAATTTTCATGCATGTTTTAGAGCTACCAATATAATACAAATTAAAAACATACAATTCATTATTTTAATATATATATATGTTAGCGCGAAAACTCGAGGAAAAATGATCCGATTTTCATGAAATTTGGTACAAACGTGTATACTTGTATACGTGTATATATGGCGGGAGTATTTGCTATTGACTACGACTATGACCATTACAATGTTATTAGTGGCTTACCAGGATATTTGGCGAGAACAGCTAACCATGCTTTAACAGAAGGGAGGTATTTATTTTGGATTACTTTTGCATACTCTCTGACATTTTCAATAATGGCGGCGTTTTCAGAAGTTTCTTGAATACGTGCTTCACAATCTAGATAAAACGTTAAAAGACATTGATAGAATTATGTTACAGTACAAAAAGTTACAATACAAATACAACCAAATATTGATGTCCCCTTCTTAATGGCTAAATCTTAAACATGTTAAACTTAAGGCAGCCAAGAGAGATCAATGACTAATTACGCATATATGATTAACAATAGTTATTACTGTAGCCAAGAGGTTAAGGCATATCTGTATGTGTCATATTAACTTCTGCATTACTGATATTTTTCATCATAAAACAATATTTTAAACTCATATTCATGTTTTATTCCAACAAATTTTGAGGAGTATTAGTAAGCAAAGAAATCATAGTAAAACCATGGATAAAAATATACCCCCTTAGTAGATTTCTTATCCTTATGGAACAGCTGAAGCCAATTTTATTGTTAGTTATGTACAGTGCATTGTAGAGGTTGTGTTCTGTTTACAATTTGTATCATGTTTTTTCAGTAATTTAAAACATTGTATAACCAAATAATGGGATCTAATCAATAACAATAACTCGTTCCCTAGTTATATAACCAAACAGTAAAGCTCAAATCATGAAATTAACCTTAAAATAACAAACAACATTTTGTCGACACTAGCACCCAATGTCATATGAAAGTATGTATGACAGGAATATACATATAATGTACATGAACTAGACACGAAAAACGAGCTTCAAAATTTACAATAGGATGAGTAGTTTACTTGTATTGGTTAGTCTATGGTAGGAGGTACGGGATGTAGCTACAGAGATTCATCAGATGCTATTTGCAAAGAGGGATACCACTGCATTAAAAATAGCCTATTGTCCAAATCAATACACCAATTAGCAAACATTGTTCATAAATACACAACACTGAGGCTCCACTGTACTTACTGGGAACAAGGTCCAGTTGCAGGGAGTGATGAGCATTCACCATCCCCACTTCCCTGAGATGAGGATCTCCAGATTCATCCTCCGAGGTAGCCTCATCATTATGATGGACAACATCTCGTAGAGGTTCCACTTCATTCTCATCCATTGATATAAAAAATTCCTCAGGATGAGGCAACAGTAGATTGATACAATTTGACAGTGAAGTCACTGTTTCCTTGATTCCGGCCTTTCTCTCTAAAAATTAAAGTTGAGTTGAGTGAAAGAGAGAATTAAATAAAAATATTCAAATATACCAATTCAAATATACCACTTAACCCATTGGCTGCAGAGTGTAGAACGTCACCGCATTTCGCCTCGAGATAGCTGTACTGCTTACCTACTGGCCCTCAAGTAGTTCGTCGAATTTAGCCTACGAGCTTTAGTGTCTACGTGTGCTCATACTGGTAATCAGAATCGACCCAGAGAGGCGGCCTTAGATAGTGCGGTGCCCAGTGAAAACATTCAGAGCAAGGCCCCTTGCTGCTAAAAAGTAGATTTCAAACAGTATCAATAAACATGTAAATGTAAAATATTAGTACCATATTCTTAGTAATATATTAAGCTAATGTGTGATTGCAGCAAAATCCATTTCCATTATAATTTCCTGTGACTTTTATTAACATTCGGGATCATCTCTAGCGATTTTAACAACATTCGTGATAGTTTTTCATGATTGCAGTAATATCCACTATGATTTCTCACGATTGAGACAGCACCTATCATGAGACCAAAGTCGTAGAAACTGCGATATTTCTCTAACATCACAACAACCTTGAGATCATCTTTTGCAATCGCGGCAACATCGTGATTCTATTTCAACCAGCGAACACATAACAAAATAGAAGCGCTACTCGGAGCGCAGGAGCGTGGCAGTCTTACTAGCCGGCGAAACGGACAAAGATGGCGGCGCTAGCCTTCCTACCTGTCGAGTATGTTTTCTGTGCTGTCGGGGAAATAATTATGTGCATTAGAGTTTGAGCCTAAATATCTCAGAGATCAATAATCCAACTTTGTTAAAACAAAAAATAAATATAAGCTGGTTTAAATCATTTAAATACATTTTACGTGGTAGCAATAAAAATCCGTTTATCAGAAAAATTTATATTGTTGAAAGATCCTAAAAAGTACCGGGTTTTAAGAAACTCTGCACCAACACTGAAGTTTAAAATTTAATTGTAAACAAACCACTGAGCCAATCGGCCTGCCAGTTGCGGGAGAAATTTTTGTTTACAAATATATATCTGTTTAAAAAACACCTTTGTTCGCAATATTAATCTGTCATAATGGTGTTATTTCTTGTGTCACGACAAACACGATGATATTTTGAACGAAATTTTTAGCGTCTTATTAACGATGTTAGCATACGTTTAAAAAATAAACATCAGCATAAAAACTATCGTGAGTAAAAATTTTACAATGCATGGAACTGTTAACAATAAATCTACCAATAAGCCATACAAATTTCAGAAAGATTGGCTCAGTGGTTTGTTTACAATTAAGTTTTAAACTTCAGTGTTAGTGCAGAGTTTCTTAAAAACCGGTACTTTTTAGAATCTTTCAACTATAAAGATTTGTCTGGTAAACGGAAAATTTTTTAATTGTTACCACGTAAAATGTATTTAAACCAGTTTATATTTAATTTTTGATCGGATAATTAATCTCAAGAGATATTTAGGCTCAAACTCAAGCACATATTTATTTCCCCGACAGTAGTCCCGGTGTGTGCAGCGCGCTAGTCGTCTGCTATGCTTGATGAGAATAGTGTAGATATAAAGTTAATGATATTAATGTAAAGGAAAACAATGTAATTGAGGATTTGACGAACAAAGTACTTGGACAATGTGTAGGAGTAAATTTGTTTCCAAATAGTACATATTTCTCAGGATATGAAACAATATGGACAAAAATCATTTTTGTTTAGTACCTAATTAAAATTATTGCTCAAAAATATTTCAATGTTAAGAGTTCGCTACTACTGTAAAATAAGTATCGAAAGTCTTCCCAAAAATAAAATCAGGCAACATCTCAATAAAACTGTAATTTTTCTGGGACAATAAATTGAGTGTAATTTTACAAATATATTTGGGAAGTTTAATTTAACTTACAGAATTATCTTTAGTTTATCTTGGATGATATTGAAAGCTAATTAGTCCTTAAAAAGTTGTGCTAAACGGTTGAAAATTCTTCATAGACAATATATTTGAAAATGTCTTTAATACAATATTACAGTACAACAGTATAAAACATTAAAACACTGCACGCTAAATGTATAGACGACGGCCCGGCGGCGCAGCGGGCGTGGCGCGGAGCAGCGGAAATGGATCCCTTTTGTACCTGATTTTTTAGAAAACCGAACATGATAAAAATTTTTGGTGAATCGGATAGTTAAATTTGGTTATTTATCCACAACTTTCCCGCTGACGAAATTTCTCTGACCAAAAAATAAAAAATTTCCTCGCAATACAACTTTTTCATGTCTGAATCTGAAAAATTAAACTACATAAGTATTAAACATATTTATAACTCAATTACTATCATAACTAATCATTTTATATTAACACCATCGTTTTACTCAGCATCATATCTACAAGTGTGCAAAATTTCAGAATTTTTGTCAACTATTAATGTTGTTTATGATCGTGTATTTGTCGCGGGGTTTTTAATGCGAACTGAGCTCGCGGGTCTTGGATTCAGGCTGTATGACGGACCAAGATGGCGGATTTGGCCACACTTTCAGTGCATTTGGTTAAACGCCGTGTCCGCTCTATTATTATTATTATGTGCTCGCTGATTTCAACCCTTCATAAATAAAATACTCTACATAAAATCAAACAAAATTTTTTTTTAAGAAACCTTCCTACATCGGTCAAAGATATTTAAATACAATTCCAAAAGAAATTAAAAAAGAAAGTAATAAAAACAAATTTAAAAAAAGATTAAAAGAATATCTGATTAAAATAGCTCCGTATACTTTTGAAGATTTTTTCCACCCATCACAGTCATAATGAATACATAAACACTTTTTCATCACTCTTCGCCGAAAGTAACTATTTTCGATAACAGCTGTCTTCAATGAAAGTAGCTGTTTCCCAAGCTCTAATTTAGGGCGAGGGAAAATCGATCAGCTGATTTTCCCTCGCTCTAAATTTACTTTCCCTCGCTCTCGATTAGTTCTCTATTTATTCACTACGTGCGCTTGTGTTACGGTTTAATTTAATGATTTGAAACAGCTGTTTTTTATTTTTGAACAATCTAAATCCATACAGCATTAGTTTGATTTGCTGTGTTTTTAACATAGTGCATGTTTTGAATTGCTCAAAGTATGTCTAACATTATTGATAATTTGATGAAAACAACTTAACTTATCACATTTCACCGGATAAATCACCGGAAGGATAAGAAGAGGAATACAGAAAGCTTGAACACTGGTACAAATTACAAAATGTTAAGTTAATTAACGTAAGTGACGAATGATTTATTAATACATTTATCTAAATAATTACAATTATGAAGCCATATATTTAAGTTGTGAAGTGTATTTTCAATGATAAAGAGTGGTCTAATAATGCTACTGAGATATGTTATTCTGCATCTGTGTATTTTTGTGTCGTGATGAAAAGTATCGTTCATAACTCGTACCAAAAGCATTTTTCCGACACTTGCTCCAATATTCCCGTCCTCGGCTTCGCCTCGTACGTGAAAATAACTCTCACCTGCTCGGCTTTGCCTCGCACGTGAAATTTGGGTTTCCTGTGTTCGGCTTTGCCTCACACATGGAACTTGGGCGCGCGTCGGAAAATGCCACTTTCGGTCCTAGTAATGAAATATACTATTTCAGTCTCCTGCATAGAGTGGATGAGATTGTCACTTAGGCTAGTTTGAGTTGTTGTACAACCTGACACTATTCGATGTATATATTGTACAAAATTAATGAATAAAGAAGTTTGAATTGAATTGAATTTATTATGTTCTGCGATGCCAATTTTTTACTTGGCACGATGACATAGAATGAGGACAAACAGTGATTATTCCAGAAAATTAACAGACTTTTAAAAAATTTTTGTGCTTTGCCCCTTGAGGTGCAGGGCTGGGCGTGGTCGCAACTTTTGCACCCATTTCGCCAATGGTGGCATAGTACAGTAGAACCTTTTTAATCCGAACCCCCGTAATCTGAACGTCCACTAATCCCAACGCCTCATTGCTGTACTCTATACACAGTACAGTAGTTCTTTATTGTATACTGTATTTAATGTACAGAACTGTTTATTCAATACGTTTACTACTGTATTAAATAAACACTGTATTTTACTTTATAAAGCATTTTTTTCACTTTTCCTGTACCAATTACGATCCATTTTAGCCACGTTTTAGCTATTGTTATGTAAAAACAACAATATGTTCTGTAATCCGAACTATTTAATAGTCTGAACTACCCCCGGTCCCAATTAGTTCTGATTAAAGAGGTTCTACTGTAGCTCAGTTGGCTAAGATGTTGCAACAACAACAAGTGTAGCTTTGAGTTCTCTACAGGTGCAACCCATATTGAGCTTGCCAATGTGTGGCTTAGCTGGAGTGAAGGGCCCACCTTAACCCATTGGAGTAGACAGACGAGCGCTACTCGTCGCGTCCGCGCGGGACTGAATGCCGACACACGAGCACAGCTCGTCCTCTATATCTCATACGCAGTAGACTACGTAGTTCCTTGTTTTTCCGCTAGATCGTGTTGGCATGTCATCAACACACTATTTAGCTACAATAGGAAAGATATTTGATCTTTGTTGTTGGTAAACCTGCCTTTATTATTATTTTTGTGAAGCAGCTGGCGTTGTCGTCTGTCAGTTAGCCGGTATTTGTTGTTGTTTGTTGTCGTCGGTACTGTCAACGCTTGTGATTCAGAGTGTTTATGTGTGTATTTGTTATTCATTATGGGTGATAAATCATTACGGACTTCAGAATTTGACCGACTATTAGATAGTGACTTTGAATTTGATTCCGATGGAAGTGATAGAAGTGTTGATGATGAAATTATTTCTCACGGCCATAAGTATGAACCAACTGTTGAATTTCTCGAGTTTCACGCTGCTGGCAATGGAAATATGTCCCCTGTAATTTTTGACGAATCTTTTACTTTTTCAGGTAATGAACAATTAGGCTCAGATAGTTTAGCTAATACTGATAATAATGCTCAACTTGTA